GTAATATTAGGATGGAATTTAATTTATTTTTCTTTTCTTGAAAACTTTAAATGAATTAATCCTCAATTACAGCTATTCAAGTAAAATAGTCCTAATCAATCATTAAATTTGGTTAGACACAAATTGTGAATGAAATCTGCTGATTCTTTTCTATAAAATACAATATCTTAAATTATACTTACTGCAATAAATACTATCAGTCTAAAAATAGTCTTAAAATGAATCATTTAATTTTGGATGATGATAGAAATGGTATTTAACCCTTTCACTCCCAGACACAGGCTTTGACTTGATTTTATGTGGTTGTAACTTATTTGGATAAAACTCTTGTGTGTGAACATTCCAATGTAAGCCATCAAGCAGCTAGCACTTTCATGTTTTACTCTTTGTTTTTGTTGATTCTGCACATTGAAATTCATTTCTTCTCAAGTTTTGACCTAGCACTCTTGAGAGTGAAGGGATTAATTACAGTTAAATATAATTGATTTTTTTAATTAAAATCTTGTTGTAACTAGTTACAGTGCTGTAACAATAAATTAGAATGAAGTTATCCTAAACTGCAGACTTAGCTGCTGTTTGTCTTTTTTTCCTGGGCTCACAGCTTTCCCTGCTAGCCTTGAATGAGGTTGTCTGCTCAACAAATAGATTCCAAGTTGCCATGTGTCTTTTCAGTAATAGATCACATATGACATCAAAATGTGGTAAGAACAAAAAAGGGGCACACGAGGCACTGATGTTTGTCATCTGTGATCTATGGGAAACAAATAAAAGAAACTTTCCAGGTATCATTTATCCCATGTTATTTTGTTTGATCATTTATGTACCTCTTGAGGATAAAGAATGTTCCAGCAAACCAAGCACCTAATTTGAGGCCAATTTAAGAGCAAGTATGAGAAGACAGATTATGTGAGAAATCTAACGCACGCTGAAATAACAGAACAACCTTCGTTTTTCATAAGATTGTAATTTACAATCCTTGAACTTGAAAAAAATCCGAAGATTCATTGAAAATATCACTTACTGCGAAGCGCTCGGAGTTTACAGATGTTCAAAAGCTTTTTCTGTTATAGCGTGAGATTGAGGACAAAATTGATCATTACGTTTCGTCGCGTGTGTTTTTCCTGTGTGAAGCAACAGAAGATGCCGGCGACTGACGAAATAACAAGTTAACACGAAAATCAAATAACACCTAAACAAACAATTTTAGCTACCGATTTTCAGTGAATTTTTAAAGAACAATTTACTTTTAAGTTTCAAGACAATTTGAAGATTCAACATACATACAACGTACTAAAATGCGAAAGTTACACACCACAAAATTGATAAATAGGCCTGAAATGAAATTCTATCTTGAAATTAGAAGATCCTCGCAGCTAAGAACACTACTGAAACTAGTAGTTGTAAGTAGGACCTGAAAAAATTTCAGGCCCGTACGGGATTTGAACCCATGACCTCTGCGATACCGGTGCAGCGCTCTACCAATTGAGCTAACAAGCCAACTGGGAGTTGGTCAATGAATTGGGTACAAATAAACATCCGAGTGAATGAAGATTTAGATATATGAAAATTCACATATTTGCACTGCTTGTTAGCTCAATTGGTAGAGCGCTGCACCGGTATCGCAGAGGTCATGGGTTCAAATCCCGTACGGGCCTGAAAAATTTTTTTCAGGTCCTACTTACAACTACTAGTTTCAGTAGTGTTCTTAGCTGCGAGGATCTTCTAATTTCATCTTTCCACCGCAGTGCAAATATGTGAATTTTCATATATCTAAATCTTCATTCACTCGGATGTTTATTTGTACCCAATTCATTGACCAGCTCCCAGTTGGCTTGTTAGCTCAATTGGTAGAGCGCTGCACCGGTATCGCAGAGGTCATGGGTTCAAATCCCGTACGGGCCTGAAATTTTTTTCAGGTCCTACTTACAACTACTAGTTTCAGTAGTGTTCTTAGCTGCGAGGATCTTCTAATTTCATCTTTCCACCGCAGTGCAAATATGTGAATTTTCATATATCTAAATCTAAATTCTATCTTGTTATTGATTATAAGTTGCCAAGCACGTGACTTAATCTATCCAGGCGGAGATCCAAAATGACGGTGGCAGGCTTGGCTTAGTTATATCACTCAAAACTCGTTCCCGTTTGTCTCATTTGATAAAGAGGGAATCGTTAATGTTTTCATTAAGACAGTATTGCCTTGATTTTCTAATATTTACAACGAAAGAAAGTAAATTTCACTTTTCACCCACATTTACTTCCAACCTTTTCTTTTGAACCAGAAACAAAAATAATAGACGTTTAAAACACATGACATCATCCACCTTGTCAAATGTAATAGCATGATCATTTCAATTGTAATGCCTTCTTATCCCAACGTTACTTTGCTTCTTTGCTACATTAGCGAACACTGAACTACTGCTCGTACTCTAGATATGACAATCAATTCCCTAAACCAGATAACAAAGTCTAAAATCATGTGTCAATTCACGAGTTTGCTCACGGAGCACTTTGATCTGTACTGGAGGCCGTCGCTTTTCGGATTGGAACACCTCTACCCATATTTATCGCTGGAACATGTGTAATTTACTTGAACTCAACGATTAATCCCTTTCTATACTGCTGGAAAATTAAGGAAGTGAGGCAAGCTGTGAAGCAGATATTAAGAAAGTGCCTATAACGATGGAAAAAATATCGAAAAACGATAGCCTCCATTTAGCGCGAAAATATGCCCTTGTTATGTAACTGTTTCGTGCTGTTTCAGGCGCAGGTCATTATTTACCGCCAGGGAGGAGGGGGGGGGGGGAAGGGTCGTAGGATTTTGGTTGTGTCACAATAAAAGTTACCTGATCCCATCTTGAGGCTCTTTAGTATTCTAATAATCCCTCCCCATTCAGTCAATTTTTCATACTCCCCTTTTATACTCCAAGAGCGACGACTGACCCCCCCCCCCTCCGTTCCCTAAAAACCATGTGATCCCATCAAAAAAATCCTTCGACTTACCCCCTACCCCCCCCCCCCTTTTCCACACCCTTATGCAGGCGATAAGTTTTGGTTCATCTTGAGAATATAATAACGACTGTATTGTACATAAGCTTGACACAAAAAGCATACCTTATATTCCCAGTTTGCGCTTCATTTCGCTGGTAAAAGAAAGAAGAGAAGAGAATTCAGTTTTAGGCACAGAAGTGATCCTTTCAGTATCATATCAAGGCCATGGGCCGGAATCAAAGAAAAGATCACCAACTTGATTTTATTGACAGATTCTCCTCGTCAGTACCATAGGAAATGTAGAGAGAACAGTATGGAGAATATGCATACTGATGTTAGGGTGTAAAGGTCAAGTTGGAAAACATTCGAGCGAAAAAAAAAAAAAAAAGACCTTCCTTGCAATCTATCAGGTGACGGGCCCTGAATTCCAATTTACTGTTGTTTACTGTAGTTTACTGTTATTCCAGTTTACAGTTGTTTAATGTTCTCAAGAGGATTATGAACCGGGGAAGGTAGTGCAATCATGAATTATGAATCAGGGCAGTTATAGTTACTTTCACTCCCACCACCGTAATGTACTTCAACAGAACACACACACACACACGACTCACTTTGTTACAATTACAAGTCATCAAGATGCAAATATCTCATCGCATCTAATAACAAGAATTCTCGTTAACAAATATCTCGACTTTCGCCAGCCTCACAAAACTGTTAATTGGCGAACACCAGTTGGCTCTCGTAAGATCTGCAGTCAAGTAACAATGGCAATTCTAATTTAGACTATCAGTAATGGTGTATATCTACGAAAAATTGGCACAAAAGGATAGAGCGCTTAAGTGGGAGAAAAGAGTTCGGGGGAGGGTTGTCATTCCTTGCACGTCACGGCATGATGGAGTTCACGTGAGCGGTCAGCGGCTGACGTTACCACACGATTAGTGCCAGTGTTTACTTGTTTACTTTTTTACTGCCTAGTTGCTAGTTTGTTTGTGAGGCAGATTGCTCGGAATGTGGACGTGGAAAAGTCTTGGTAAGTTAGAGAATTCATGATATATTTTGTTACAAAATATACTATTTAAGACTCCTGGAGCTCATGCAGTTGGGCTCAAACTGGAAGAGCTACTTCGTGCAACTGTTCAGTGGAACTGTTGAGCGCGCAACAACTTTAGATTCAGTGCGCGCGCTCGTGATGGATTTCCTGGGATAGTTAATTTAGATTTCCTTCTTTTCCTATAAAATTTTTTAGTTAATCAAGATATTTAATTTTTTTGCGAAAGCACGGTCCACAAAACACGGCTACATCACTTGGCGAAGAACCACTCATCTAATTCCTTGAGGTGAGACATTTTTAGATGGATGTTAGGACTTTATATAGGTGGGGTAAACTTTCCCCCGACCCTGGCCCCTCCTAAGGGAACCTACCATGGTTGAGAACAACTGGGGTATCCAATCAATGAAAAAAATTATTTTTGACAATCACAATCAATCAATACCAATGAATAGTAACAAATTGATTGATACTGATTTTCAAGAACTAATCAATGTCTAGCATTTGTATGGGTAAGCCATTGATGTCACCATTAAGCATTGAAAGTGGTTGTCAATTGATACCAATCAACTGGAATTAATCAACTTACTGTATATTGTTATTAATTTGATGGTAGAATCAGGAGAATAACATTGTATGTCACTGTATTATATACCCAGGGACAGTTTTATTGACAACTCAGTGTTATAGGTTAACTTAATGGCAGAACCATGAGAATTACAATGTGTTTGATTGCATTATATACGCTTTATATAAAATATTGTCGTCAGAGCTTTGACCCCTTTGACTATGGTGATCAGTGCGTAAAATACTCTTAGAAACTCACTACTGTCCCAAAATTAATTGAAGCAGGAAGTTTGTATAAATTATGTAGATTATTGTGATTAATAAGAATTAACCTTGATATGAAATCATTCTGACTACACTCACACAAGACATTCATTGTGAAAAGCTTATTCAGGATGAGTCGGTCAGTCTTCTAGTATACAGATCCTGATACAATGTTATAAATATATAGTCTAAAACTAGGGGTTCTACATGAAGAACCTGTGCTGCACCAGATATAAAAAACCACTAAAAACCACTCATTAAATGTGGCCAAAAAATGAGTGGAAATGTGTTCCTCATCAAATGCTGCAGCACAATACCCTGAGGACCGGGTAAACTAACCTGGTTGCAGTATTAATTACTACCAAAATTACAAGAAATATAAAAAAGAAAGTGGTCAAACGTAAGACTTACCGACCTAGAATGACTTAATTTTCCTGCAAAATGCTTAAATGATCCAAAACTTCCATGATGCCACACAAACCACTTCAAAATGCCATCAGAATAAAAATTTCTGACATATTGGTTCCCATGTCAGTCAAACATCAGAAATTACATAAATTGTCAGCTGTCAAAGGAACTACAGTACTGTATAGTTTTGAAAATTACATATGATCCGACAGGTTGGGAATGAAAAGTTAATAATATATTTAGAACCTGGCTCCTTGATAAAACTTTGTTAGGGTTGGGTTTCTTCAAAATCCTTCCATAGAATAAAAAGGTTGTAGGTCTGTCATCCATGACTTCCTCAACTCTGTCATCAAGGAGGGAAGATCTGGGAAATCTCGATCATTAAATGATAGTTTTCCTGTGTCTCTAATGACCTATTTGAAGGATTTTAAAAAAGATAACATTACCATGATATTGAAGTTCATATTGGAATCCAATGAAATAGAAAAACAGAGTAGCAAATTACATCTACATTAAATTTTATTTTCTTCAGCCCAACAATTTCAATGCCTGAAATTGATTAGAAATGGCCTGCATGCTATGTGTCCACATTTTCTTCAACACCAATAGGCTTGAATCATTTACTCTCCCTGTAGGGAATGTTCCCTCTTGTATACAGTTTACCCTCAGCATGTAACCAGGTTTCCCTGTAATCTTGTCAGATAATCATTTTAGTACACAAAACTCTGACCTCATCCAGAGCTCAAAATGAAGTCCTAAAAATTGTGAGAAGTGAAGATTTTCAAAAGAATTTACTGAAGTCATGTTTTTAGCATGAAGAAAGCCTAACATTTTTAATGTTTCTTACCTCGATTGGAAAGTCAACAATACTTAGACCATTACGGGACTTTTTGGTCAGCAAAAAGCCTGGTTGACCGTAACATTTGAATCGGACCAAGAAGGCTCCCCTTTTTTCACTCTGCAGTTTCTTTTTGGCCTCTTCTTCTGACATATATCCAGCAAACCAGCTGAGGAAGATGAAACAGTTTGTGTGATTTTCATTCAGTAAGATTTTACAATTTCTAGTTCACATGATGTGCTTGCTGAATTTTACACCTTTGTTGGCCTAATTGGCTGAAATTTCTTTTTTTTTGGGGGGGGGGGGTTGGGAGGGTCATAATCATGCAAAAGTTTGGTGACCCAAACCTAAACTAATTTAAGTTACCAGTAAAACTAACTGTTAACTATATTTACCTTGTTCTTTTACCATCAGCATCAACAGAAACTGAGCTCTTCATCAGATGGAGCATCTAAAGGTTAAAGTTGTAGTTAAGTGTCATATCTCTTGGTTGCACTGTTGGCATACTCCTCTTTGAGCCTTTTTTAAAAAGAGGCATCATCTGTACTTCATGAAGTTAAGCAAAATTGTGGCAGGGCAAGGTTGAAATTTTTTAGAGGGCAATTGTAACAGTTACACTGTATTTTGGAACTTTTAAAGGTTTGGCATTTTCCTTGAAAAGTAAATAAAATGTGTTTTTATTCTTCTATTGATCCACAAATTTTGTCTGTTTTTTTTTTTTTAAGCATATGGTCAACATTAATTACATGCACATCATCATAACAATTTTGTACCTGTAAATGAAATGTTTTAATTGTCATCACAGTCATCATTTCTGTAGTTGATATACTATCAAGAATGAGTTAACTAATATGTAATGGTAACATGTGATTAGAGTGTAGTACTGTTATCTATAGCTGAAAAAATGTACAAACAGTCACAAGTCAAGCTCTCAGGTCATCACAAAGTAATATTATACTGCAATGTAGAATTGAAAAATTACAATCAGTGGAGATGTACTGGTTGTATGTAGGTAAATTCTGTAATCATTATATTGTGTTGAAGGAATAGTATTTAATATGTGCTTTTGCGTTACTCTTATTAATATTATTGGCATTTGTAACTCCTTTCTTTTACCTTCTTTAGGCAGCCTTGCATTCCTTCATTGGGAGATCCAAACCACACTGAGAGTCTTATGAGATTATGGCGGTAGACAGGTGCAGATTCCTTTTTTCTAAACATTTTTTAAGTACAACAACTTAAATTTAGCATCAGGTTAATTGTACATGCATT